TTGAAGCCACACAATCCAGTCTCTCCCTGTCTGACTCTATTCTACCCTGAGTTGCCTTCTCTCTGACAGAGCCCAGGGTGAGTGATTGAAAATTAGATTTTGTGTGGTAGCGCTTTAGAGGGTGCCTGAGTTTCTAGCAGGTTTCCATCTTTCCCTGACAGTCAGATTCCCTGTGGATTTTCACAGCCAGGGATTTTCACAGTGGGCACCTCTTCCAGGGACTAGCTCTTTGCCATGGGGAGCCCTCTTTGGGGTTGTGATGCCTCAATGCACAGGAGGGACCTTTGCAGCTGAGATATCCCCCTGGATTCTCAACTGCCACATGTGGGTGTGGGACTAGCCTTTTACAGTCTCTGTTCTTCCTTCCAACCTCGATGTGGCTTCTTCTGTAAATACTTTGTTATAAGACTTCTGTTCAGCTATTATTTAGCTGATTATTTGAGCTGATTGTTTTATAATTTAGTTGTAATTCCAGTTTGGTCACGAGAGGAGGTGAATGTAACTTCTACCTACTCTACTGCCTTCTTGGATCCTGTTGTTCTTATTTTGACTGACAGGTACCTCTTGATGTTACCAAGAAAGTGTGTGTACTGTCATCAGAATATGCAGATGAAGATACAATTTTCTAATATTTAATTTATTGAACATTTGAAGGTTAAATCATTTATAATCTATAAGCACAGACCAAGAAGTAGTAACAGATATGGAAGTTCTCCCATAAATAAAAGTTTTGATTTGGTAAAGATCAGAATGATAAACTGTTAAATTATCCCAGTGCTTCTTTCATTAAGCTTTGTGAACTCACACATTTATACAAATACTTTACCCCAGTTAACCATGTTAAACTCTCAACAATGTTGTGTTGTGAGTGTCCCTTATTAAAAATAACAAAACTTTCTTAACAAGGAATTTATTCACTCAGCTTTCTTTCACATATGAAGAGTTTGAGATATTGCTGTGCTTTAAAGCTACGAAGTTAGCCTGCCAGAGTTTTATAGATGGTGACAAAAGACTCCTGTGTCATAGACAAAGTACTTTATTACTCATGACAAAGCAGGCAGCATGAACTTTATATTTGCATTTTTCCCCTTGCCCTCCAAGTCACACAGTGTTGATGCAAACTTGTACAGATGGATATTATGTACACAGTGGGTTTGTGTCATAATTGAGGAACCTTGAATTTAGGAAACTCCCAGTCTTACAAGAGGACTGCTTGCAAGTTTGCCCAACATTTGACTTTGAGGGGAACATTATGTTTATCAACCCTCTGCTTTGGAGGGAGACACTGTTTCTAGTTTCCAAGATTTTTTGATATACAATAATCTTTGAAAAATTATGAACAAAAACTGTCAATGCCACCCTGGCCAGAGTGGTTCAGTGGTTAGGAAGTTGGCTCATGCACTGAAGGGTCACAAGTTCAATTCCCAGTATCTAGGTTGAAGTTCCCAGCCCCCATGGGGAACGTGTGGGAGGCAACTGATACCACTCTCTCACATTGACATTTCTCTCTCTCTCTCTCCTCTTTCCCCTTTTTCCTTCCACTCTTTCTAAACTCAATGGAAAAAATATCCTAAGGTGAAGATTAACAAACAAACAAAAAAATGTTTCATTGCCTTTTCAGGAGACATAGAAAGAGGGCAAATTCTCTAAATGAAATATCCATTAGCTAACATAAGCTATAGTTTATCTTAAGTTTGAAATTTACAATTTTAAACCATACTTAATATCCTCCTTCTTTTCCCTCAGTCCATATAATTAGAATATATAAAGAACAAGAACATTCAATGACCTTTTATCAAGTCTGTGGATAATTTTAATAATTACTTTATTGAACAATAACTACTTTTTCATAGCTGGTTGCGAGATAGAAAAAATGATAAATGCTTGTTACCCAAGTTTTCTATTTTGAGAAATAAAACTTTCACAAAATTTTTAAGATCAGTTGTTAGCATCATAATAGTCAAATTTTATAAAATTTGTAAGCTGATTTCAATATAATAAATTAAATTAATAAATGCATATTTTATTTCAAATTAAATATTGAGCAAATAACTAATGACTATATTTTGTTTTAGTATATAATGCATTTCATACATGAGAGTTGAATAATAAGTGTCTGCTTAAAATTGAGATCTGTTTTGTTGAATATAAATATTTTGTAGTGCTAGATTCTTAAGTTTATAAATTCACAGTTTAGTGGCCATCTCCAAACTTTGAAGCAAGAAAAAATCCAAAATCAGACCTCATTAACAACTCTATTTATTTCTATCGACTGAGTCAGATCAGACTATTTCTATGTAAAACAAATGATATTAGTTACTAAATGTGCTCACTGAAAGTGTGAATGAAATAAAATATTATTTAATAATTCAGTGTTGTTTTAATATTAGATTTCTCTGAATATTTTTCATGTTTTTATTTAAAGTTTCTTGCATAAATTAGAATAAAATTATTACCATCCTTATGATGTAGCTTGAACTTTTTAAAAACTTGAATATTTTCAGATAAAATAGGTCTAAAACATAACTTTCAAAGAGATATCCAACACACTAATACCAGATAAATAATAGAAGGCAAATAGTAAACTTTGTTATCAGCTACATTTTTGAAATAAAACCTAAAAATATAGTTTTAAATTCTAATTGGTCAAAGTTTGAGAACATTAAAATGGTATAAGGCTGCCATCTTCAGGGTTCTCTAGGTTAATTTATTCTAAAAATGTATTATATTCTTTGTTGAGTATATAATTTGCCGGTCTTGATGATGTTAATGTAATGTATTATTATAGATGCTAGTTACTGTATATGTATGAAATAAAGATATTATCTTGTACATCTATTTATATAGTCCTCATATAAGGATATGTTTTTTATAGATTTTTTTTTTTTTTTAGAGAGAGAGAGAGGAAGGAAAAGAGAGAGAAATATTATTTGTCTCCCATAATTGCCCCAACGGGAGATCGAACCTATAATCTAGGTATGTGCCCTGATTGGGAATTGAACTCACAACCTTTTGGTGTATGGGATGACGCTTCAACCAACTGAGACACCTGGCCAGAGTCTGTACCTATATTTTAAAATATAATGCTTTGTAAAGGAAATCTGAAACTAATACAAACATAAAGAAATAAATTATGTACTTATTCATGTATCTTTGAGAAAAAAGTAAATGCACCTGTGTGACACTGAGTTTGTGAATTATCAAAGATAGAAAATTCAATCGTTTTAAACATTGAAGTTCACTTACTCATTCATTTTTTTCCAAGATAAAAGCTTGCCTTCCCTCTCTACTGAAGTTGAGAATAGCTACAAAGTGCTAGAGAAAGATATATCTAGGTTTCTTTATTTTAGGTTCTTCTGATTTCACTAGTATGACTTAATTCTGATTATCATTTGTAATTTTCAAAATTTTAGCTCAATAGAAACCTTTTATATATGACAAAAATGTGGATATTTAGTTTAAATACTTTGTTTTACATTTACATCATGTTTTCAAATTTTGTGGAGATTTGCAGCTCAGATGTGGATTCTATAGATGGTAATATGACAGTGATAAAACCAAATTTTAAAAATACAATTGTTATTTTATCCTCAGGAAAAATGAAGAACAAAATAATTTTATATTAATTTAATGATATTAAATTTTATAATAATTTAATGATATTAAAAATGAAAATAGCATATATTTTTTTAAATGGAGAAACATTTTATTTAGTTACTTGAATTGTCTCAATCAGTTTAATTGTTTACTCTGATTCATTGCTGACACTGAATAATTGTATCTGGAAGTAGCAAATTTGCCTCCAGATGAAAAAAAAAAGACCTTCGCTAGATACAGCCTAATTATCCTGTGCTTCATGAGAGATTAGAATTTATTTAATACAGTATACTTATGGATTAAATATTTCACACATACATACTTATTAAATAAGGTATAACATGTAACAAACCTCCCACTGAAGTACACACTTGCCAAATGTGTGACCTTGGAAAGTGATTATATTTTTTGGAAACCGTTTTCTATGTATTTATTTGTACCATAATACATACATGTAATATTATTGTGAAGATTAACTAACAAATACAATGATTCTAGGATAGTGCTTCATGCATAATGAATGACCAATTAATATAAGTTGACTTAGAGATGAAATTAGGAAGTCTGTCTTTAATCTTTATGACTATGCAAGTCAAAGGAAAGAAGAGGTACAGAAGTTTGAGCTGCAAGTAGCAAGATAGGGAACTCTTTAAATATGTGTGCGTATTTGTGCATGTACATATGGGGGAAAGTAAAATATTGACGGTAATAGTAAGCAATGGTAAAGAACCTAAGAAAATAAAATATTACAGTTGTATGCTGCTAGTTTAATATTTGTTCTCATCTATCTCAATTTTATCACATTATTTTAGGAATTCAATTTTTATTTTTAATCATCAAAATTGTTATCTAAACAGCACTTTTATGATATGTGAACCTTTTTTTCCCCCGGACGCAATATTTTTTACTTACTTATAATCATACAAGGCAATTTTTAATGTCTTTAAATTTATTTTTATTGAATTAATGGAGAACATTTCAGATATGAAATTTTGCAGAGTCTCTAGAAACACCTGGTAGGGCTTTGTCTAACCCTTTAATATGTTTGCTGTCACAGTCAGGTCTTATAAACTTGGAATCTTATAATATTAACAATATTTCTATCAGCAGAAATAGATGTTAAGAAAGTACAAACATTTTCTTAGTTCATTTACTGACTAAATACAGATGGAGGGCCTGATATTCTGATGCTCTGTTTGTAATAGCAGAATATAAACAGTGGTTTCCTTATGAATTTTTCTTCTCTTGTCAAGGTGTTTCTTTTTGATATATTTATTATTTTATCTTTCTATCTGCAACTCCATTTAACACTCCTAAAATTTATGTTCATGCAATTTTGTCTCAATTTTGTCGCCAAATTATGAATTTTAGAAATTAAATTTTTAAATATTGCCCAATTGAACTTAATTTGCAAGATGGTTGCAAGAATGCTGTCTAAATTCAGCCAAACTGTTGAAAACACTCCTACAAATGGGACATAAGTATTTCCAACCATTATCAGTTGTTATGATCATTACCCTGATGTAATGCTGTGATCTCAGATGATCTTCAAAAGCTCTTTTAGTAAATCTGTTTTCAAATTGGGTCCGTGGAACATCAAACGTAGGTCTCACAAAAATGTGAAATTCCAGCCTCCTTTTAGTATCAGTTGACTTGGACACTATTTTTAATGCTATTCTCTCACTGAGGGGGTAGTAGTAGTACACCCTCATAGGCCTTCCAAATACTGTCATTCTTACCCTATTGTTTAGAACATTTGGGCGAACGACAAATGCTACAAATTTTTGCTTTCCCCACATGGTATTTTGAGGGAGATGTCTCTCACACAACTGACGAAGAACCATTCTTCTTCTCTCATAACGGTTTATAAATGACATTCTCCATGAAATTGATAACTGGAAAGGAATTTTGTAATTTATATTGACATAACAGATATTACTTGTTTTCCTCTGATTTTTTTCAGAGTGGAATCTGGCTCTATTAATTAAGGAATTTGTTTTATTAATTTTCACTAGTGATGTATTCAGATGAGTAAATCTGCCTAATCCTGACATGAGAGAGATCCATTTTCTAGGAATAGGAATCTGAATTAGAAGGGGTTCTTCTTCTTTTAAATCTTCTTGAGGATTTTCTTGGTTCTTCTCTACTTCAAGGTCGTTTTCTTCTGCTGGTTGAACAGCATGGTCCTGAGAGGTTGGTATGTCTAGCTCCCTGTTCATTGGGTTGCTATCGACCTGAGAGACCATATTAGATTCTACAAATGAAGGCTCTATATCTGAACTACAGTCATTTGGAGCCTCATTTTCTGAATTTTTAAGAGCATTATCAGCTGGATCACTTTCTTCTTTACTAGGAGAAGACATCCTGGGTTCTATTTATGAGAAAAAAGACAAAGATCTATTCAGTTGAGGAATGCTTTAATTCATAAGAAGTTGGTTACTTAATCATGGCAAAAAACATGTGGATGTGGTATTCCTTCATTTCTCATACTTTAAATACATATATTTTCTTACACCTTTAATATCAGAGTCACAGACTCACAAAATAAAATAAGGAAAAAACAAAACTGAGGGCAAATATAACTCCTATTAAATAGGTGTTCTCATTAGTTAGTCTGGAACTTATGTAAACTTGGAATAACATAAATTTTCATCTGGCTAATATAAGAATGTACTCAATGCACTAGAGTGCATTTAGTCTCCAATAAAAGTCCAATTATTTCATTTTAGATGGTGAATTAAATACAATTTTTATTTAATAAGATAGATCCAAATTAATGATCTGGGATTTTAAAATGAGGCTAAGGGAGAATGTATTTATTTTTATGAATACACATGTTAAAATTTATGTGGAAATGAAATGGTTGGATTTGTATGAAGAACAATTCCTTGGGAATTTGTCTTTTGTTTTATTATTTTATCTGTTCTTTTTGAACAATATCTATGCAAAGAGCAAGCATTATGAAATGTGTGGGAAGGGAAGGCAGATCAGGTAAAAGAGGAGGAATCTCAAGGGTGAAGTCCAAACTCTGAGTCATTTTATTAAAATATCTTTTCAACTCATCATTTTCTTTTCATTCTCATTGCCTCAGCACTAATCAAGCTGATAATCACATCATGCTCTTTTACTGCTGGTAGTACCTGATTTTCCTGATTCTAAACTCTTGGTTTACCTTTTTATTCTTGCATATTTCTTTCATGTCACCTACCTGCTCAAACACCTTCAGCAGATACTAATACTCTGAATTATATATTCCCATTCCTTTCTATGAGGGGACTTAGGACAATCTGAGTTGGAAGATTTCTTTAGAGTAGGAAAATGGGTAGGAGGATTTCTTACTGAAGGCAATAGTGGGGAAAGGAAATGCCAGGTGGCTCAAAAAAAAAATCTGAGGAAGTTGAAAAATCAAGAAACATTGCTTCCATTGTTTATAGCTAGATTTAGGAGCTAACCTAGACAGAATGCATGGATAGGCCAGTTGGATTTACAGAAGTAACATAGGCCTTTATCTCATACTGCTATCTTAAGAGACCCTCCATACTCTAACCCCATCTCCTCTGATTAACTTTCTTTCCTCCATTTACTCAACATGCTTTTTATGTTCTAATACTGCTGGTCTTTTTGTAATTTCATACTTACATTTAACTTACGATTTTCCCCCCGAAATTTGATATTAATTCAAGTGTGACTTTTTATTGCAAACTTTATTTTATTTATTTATTTCCTTTACTGAAGGCAATGATTACAATAAGATTTTATTCAGTATGTTCTACTCTTTAGTGCTGCTCTACTAAGGTCATGGAATTGCAGTCTCTTAATCTTCCTCCACTTTAAGAATGTTATTTCTTGACTTCTGTTACCATATGATAGTCTGTTACCTTTCTCCTTTTTCTATCCTTATCTAATTTGTCTTTTTTACTTTATTTTTACTCTTCCTAATATTTATATGTAGGCATTCCTCAAGACATCTCTTGATCTTCTAGTCTACTTTTCTTTTTTTTAACTCTCTTCTTCAGTGTTTTCATACACACCTGAAATTTCAAGGAGAGGGTCCTTGCTGAGCTTAACTGAGTTTGATCTGTTTGAGATTGTCAATTAGAGAAACTATATTACCAAAATATTTCAGCATCAGCACAGTTATAATAAGGGTAAGATAATAAACAGCACTTACATTATAGTAGATGTCTATAATAACAAAATTGAACTCACTAAGTTTGGTTGCTTCTAAGGCTGAGATCCAAAAAGTCGGTGGGAACTGGAGTTCCTGGCTGTCATCTAGGTCTTGTCAGACGCCCCCTGAAATCAAATAATGTTATTTTCATAGAACATATGTAGACTAATTAGCTCTTGTACCTTCTCTCTCCAAGTAAAGTAGCTCTTCTGCTTTGCCTTTTGATAGGGTCTTCCACTTACACCTCTGAAGCTAACTATAAGATTCATTGTTCCCTTCCACATTCTGCACTGGCATTTTATATGATATATCCAGTGCATATACTCATCACAGATATTAATGCTATTAGAATATGTTGTTTGTCAACTGAATTTAAGTTATATTTGAAATTTTCCTTATTTCTGCAAAGAAGCCATATCAGAAATATATGTATTTAAGGTCATTATTGTTCATTTAAAAATTATGTCCTCTTTGAATAGCCACCAAAATCCCTGTACTGAGTCATTTCCCCATACCGCAGAAGCCATCATTCTAAGGCAGAGTTTTGCCATCTGTGCAGCATTAGCTTGGGGGGAAGTAATAGCCCCATCCAGAAATGAGAAAGGAGAAGTAACAACTGACACCAAAGAAATACAAAAGACTGTAAGAAAATATTACAGACAATTACATGCCAATAAATTGGACAATCTGGAAGAAATGGATAAGTTCCTAGAAACATACAACCTTCCAAAACTAAATTGAGAAGACTCAGAGAATCTGAATAAACAGATTGCAACTAGTGAAATTGAAGGCGTAATAAAAAATTTCCCCACCACCCCCCAAAATTCCCAGCAAACAAAAGCCTTTGACCAGATGGCTTTATGTGTGAATTTTACCAAACATGCAAAGAGGAACTATCACTCATCTATCTCAAACAATTCCAAAATAATCAAGAGGAGGGAAGATCTCCAAGCTCATTTTACAAGGCCAGCATTATTCTAATTCTAAAACCACTTAGACATGACAATGTCTAAGGGGATAGGCCCATATCTCTGGTGAACATAGATGTTATAAGCCCTAGCAAAATATTAGCAAACCAGATCCAGTAGTACATTAAACAGATCATACACCATGATCAAGTGGGATTTATTCTGGGGATGCAAAGTTAGTACAATATCCACAAAACAGTAAATATGATGCACCTCATAAACAAACTGAAGGATAAAACCCATATCATATCAATGTATGCAGAAAAAGCATTTGACAAAATCCAGCACCCATTCATGATAAAAAAATCAAGCAGATGTCCACTTTCCAAACAGCAAAGTGGGAACAGAGGGAACACACACAATGTAATAAAGACCATATACAACAAACCAACAACCAACACCATGCTCAACAGGCAAAAACTACAAGCATTCCCCTTAAGATTGGGAAAAAGACGGGGATGTCTGCTTTTACCACTCTTATTCAACATAGAACTGGAAGTCCTAGCCATAGCAATCATACAAGAAGAAATAAAAGGCAACCAAACTGGAAAGGCAGAAGAAACTGTCATTATTTGTAGATGACATGATATTGTATATAGATAATTTTAAAGTTTCCACCAAATTTTGGTACATGGAGGCATTATTCACAGTGGCCAAGACATGGAAATATTCAGTGTCCTGTGATAGAAGGCTGGATAAAGAAGATGTGGTACATGTACACAATGGAATACTACTCAGCCATACAAAAGAATGAAATACTGCTATTTACAACAACATGGATAAACCTTGAGAATATTACATTAAGTGAAATAAGCCAGTCAGAAAAAGCTAAGAACCATATGATTTTATTCATATGTGGGATATAAAACTGAAACTTGTAGACACAAACAGTAGTGTGGTGGTTGCCAGAGGGAAGGGGTTGGGGGGTAAAGGGTAAAGGGATCTTAATATATGGTGATGGAAGAAGATATGACTTTGGGTAGTGGGCACACAGTGCAATATACAGATCTTGTAACATAGAAGCTCACATCTGAAACCTATATGATCATATTAACCAATGTCAGCCCAATAAATTTAATTTAAAAAAAAATTTTTTTAAAAGATTCCACCAACAAACTACTAAAACTGATAAACGAATTCAGTAACATATTAGAATACAAAATAAATATCCAGGATCAGTTGCATTTTTATACACCAATAATGAACTATCAGAAAAGGAAACTAAGAATACAATCCCATTTACAATTGCATCAAAAATAATAAAGTGACCAGGAATACATTTAACCAAGGAGTTAAAACACCTGTACTCAGAAAATTGTAAGATCTTAAAGAAAGAAATTGAAGAAGATACAAATAAATGGAAGCATATACCTGTTCATGGATAGGAATAATTTACATCATTAAAAAGTCCATACTACTCAAAGCAATATACACATTCAACACAATTCCTATCAAGATACCAATGGCGTATTTCACAGAACTAGAACAAAGTTTTCAAAAATTTATATGGAACCACAAAAGACCCTGAAGAACCACAGCAATCATGAAAAAAAATAATAAAGTTGGAAGAATCATGCTCCCTGGTGTCAAACTATTTTACAAGGCCATAGCAATCAAAACAGCATGTTACTGGCATAAACACAGGCATGTAGATCCATGGAACAGAACAGAGAGCCCAGAAATAAATCTACGACTTTATAGTCAATTAATATTTAACAAAGGAGGCAAAAACATACAATGGACTAAAGATAGTCTATTCAATAAATGGTGTTGGGAAAATTGAACAGATACATGCAAAAAAAATTACACTAGACCACCTTCTTACACTCCACACATGAATAAACTAAAAATTAAATACTTAAAATGTTAGACTTGAAACCATAAAAATACTGGAAGAATACATAAGCAGTAAAATCTCAGACATTTCTCATAGCAATATTTTTTCTGATATATCTCCTTGGACAAGGGAAACAAAAGATAAAATAAACAAATGGGACTACATCAAACTAAGGAGTTTTTGCACAGCAAAGGAAACCATCAACAAAATGAAAAGACAACCTGCTGTATGGGAGAACATATTCTCCAATGATACATCTGATAAGTGATTACTATCCAAAACTTATAAAGAACTTATAAAGCTCAACACCAAAAAACAAATAATCCAATTTAAAAATGGCCAGAAGACCTGAATAGACACTTCTCCAAAGATGGCATACAGATGGCC